AAGATTTGCCAGTTGTGTGTAGAAGAAGTAGTCAACTGCTAGAAGTGAGTCAAGTGAATTCCACAATGAATCTCCAACTTCAGACCAACACATACAGTATTCACTACTGTATTTATGGGAATCGGGGCATACCCATTATTGTTCATAGGTATGCTACAACAAATACTTTCAGTATATCTGTATTTTCCAAGGCGTTTGAATAAAGTGTTATTATGAACTTTATTTTTATTTTCCATTACGTACATGTAAATTTATTAAAAATGTTACATATTAATTTTGTAAAATTTGTATTGTATCATTACATTGCATAGAAATATGTACTTGTACGTATATGTTACTACATTGTATTGTTATATTATTTTTATTAATACATTACAATACAATGTATTGTAATGTTTTTATTCAAAATTCTAATAAAACTATAAAAAAATTAATTTTATTTTTTTCTTGTTAAAATCTCGTGCGTATGACATTTCCACCATCTTTTGCTATCATCGAAGATGGATCTATTGACATGGCGCTTTATAATTGGAATTATTTTAGGTCGTCTTTCAAATTTATTCACATTGGTACAGATTTTTATGTGAAATTAAAGGATAATTTTAATAAACGTTTTTCAAAACTGCCAATATTCAACTCTTAGTATTGAATAGGCATTTTGCATTCTGTGTTACCCATTTTTGGGGATAACTCCATTGACTTGTCAAGCTTTGATTTGGTGGTCTAAGCTGGCAAACCTGACATTGTGGCTCACTTTTGATTTAAACTGCAGACAGAAGTTTTGGACCCCGACTACCATGGTTTATTGGTGCTGACCTGTATTTGATATATTTTTTTCCAGTGTGGTCTAATTTCATGTAACTGTTTTAGACATGACATAACTTTGGACTAATTTGAATTCTAGCATTCTCAAAAAATGCGAAGATGTAGCCAACATGATCTTGTCTCATATGCTGACAGTACCCAGTTCTTGATAATGATTGACACAGTACTTAAAAAAAATTAGATTTGGCCAGTTTATTCATGATTTTGATCCTGTTGTTCTACTTATTCTATGTGCTGTGTCCCTTCAGGATGTTGGCAATCATGGCTCTCCACAATTTCCTATCTTTTTTTGTTTCTCTAAAACGTTTTTTATAGCTCACGTTTGGTCTATGGTATTCTCAGCATCCCTCTGTAGAACCACATTTCTGTTGCTTCAAGTGTCTTCATATGTGAGTTGATTGTCCAGATTCACTGCCATATAAGACAACTTATTATGTAGCAGTTCAGATGTTCAACTAATTACTTGAGAATTTAAAAAATACAGAAAATTAAACAGACAGATCTTGAAATTTAAATTCAACAAAACTTGTTTGGGTGAATTGTGTTGCTTAAATATATTGTATATACAATTTGGTATTTTTTTTTCTTTACTTGTTTCACAGATTATCAGAAAAAGAATTCAATTCCTCTAGAACAAAATCTACATTCGCAAGACAAAATGTAATTCACATTAATAAACTGAAAGCTTGATTTTTCATTTTGATTTATCTAATTTCTACTGTTTGTACTAAATTATTACTGAAGCAATTTGGGATATGTAAACCATGTAAAAAGTAAAGTCAGTACATAAACTGAGTTGAAATTAGTTAAAATTTAATATTAGAAATGATGCAGTTCAAGTAAATGTCAAATGTTCATATGCTTAACATGAATCATGTTGGGTCTTTTGAATGTAGATTTTTTTTGTGCACAGTACAATTCTATATTTTTTTGTTTATGCAGGATAAATGACAAATCCTAACAAAGTAAAAAAACACATTCAAAATTGTGTTATATAATTACCATTCCATCAGACTACTATCCTACTTTACCCATATATCTAATATATGGATGTGTGGGTGGTGTAATGGATAGCAACACAAACTGAGAAATTGGAGAACTGAGTTTGAATTCCAGTCAAGTTCATTAAATTCATTTATGCACAAATGCCCTTGGGAAAGGTATGAATCCATCTCAGTTATTGGTGAATAGCAGGACAGATTTACTCCTATTGCCTTGGGTGGCAACCAGTCTAGGAGAAGGAAAATTATAAATTTAAAATTTGCGGAAGGTCTTTGGAGATCTTGTGACACATCATGTGCTCCAGTTCTCTGTATTTGGCTCTTCCAAAAAGTATGTTTAGTTCTATAGAAGTCTTCATCACTATAATCAAATTATATCTGTGGGTAGTCTTGCTGTTTGGTTCTAAGAACTGAGATGTTAATATAGTAAACTCTTTACCAATTTCATTTACATTATAAATATAATATGCCTTTTCTGCTTGTCATTATTTCTTTTAAAAGGGATAGTGAAGGATCAGACATTACTTAGTGCTACAATGGATAGGAATTTGTGGAGAGCCATGATTGTCCAAATTTTGATGGGACAAAGCATATAAAAGAATAATACAAATAGTGTGCTGAAATTTGCCCAGACAAAGTTATAGCCAAAAATGACAAAATTTAATATTTAACCCTTGAGCCTTCAATGCTCTCAAAGTCTTACCATTTGTACATCTCATGATTTGCATGACTTCCTGCATTATTTATGGCATATGGCAGAGCAATCATGGGGTGGGTTATGGCAGATTGAACATTGGAAGCTGATATTTCAAGCAAGATGAGCAAATAGATGGTGGAACAAGGTTTAGAAGAGATAAGAAAAATACAAAATTTATTAAGAGCTACAAAGGACAGGAAATTGTGGAGTGCAGTGATTGTCAAATTCTTGAAAGGACATGGCACATAGAGGAAGTATGTGGAGGAATTGCATGTAGTTTTCATTTTCTGAAGTTCTTTTGGCCAATTCTTTAACCTTTAATATGCCACAGGTGAAAATTTTTGCCATAGAATTCTCTCCCTTTGCTACATTAGGCACATTCTGTTGCCTTGAGATGGTTGCTATAAATAATCACGGGTTAACTTATTTCCAATATTTTAAGCTGGAAATCGCCTACTACTGCTTTTAAACAAGGTTAAACTTCCGTTTTCCAATGCTATTTTGAATTCTTCTAAATGCTACATGAGGTGTAACACTGATTTAAACAAATGCTAATTTTTTCACAATTTTTTTGTGAACAAAAATGTCTGTGTCAATATCCAACAAAGCCTTTTTTCTTTGATTAGAAATCCAATGATGATTTTGAAGGCTTTTTACTTGAGTGGATATTGACAGTGGAAGTAGTTAAAGATGATAACCACATCTTGTGATGTGGAGGAAAGCAATGATGACCACTAGTAGCTACTATTAGTGTACAAAAATTAAAATCTACATGCACAATACAATGAAAATTATAACAGTTTTAAAACGGTAGGTGTTCATGTTTTTGCACCCTCAAAAAAAAAAAAAAAATGCAGTGGCAGGTGGGACAATTCTAGAAAGAAATTAATGTGGTAAAGGTTAATTCTTTAACCATTTACATGATATAGAATAGGAAAAAAAACTGAAAATATACTAACAATCTTCATTACCACAAAAAAAAAAAATAAATAAAAAAAATTGTAAATGGCTAAAAATTTAGCCAAGATCACTTGGGACAATGAAAACTACAGACAATTCCTCTCCATATTTAGCCTCCCAAGAAGGAAAATTGTGAGGACAAAAAAAAAAAAAATAAATAAATAAAACACACAAAAAATATTCCTTATCCATCATATTCAATGAAACACATTTTTTTTAATCAGTTCTCTCTATGCAAGGTAATAATGCTACTAGGATGCGAGGGGCTCCTGGGAGTGAAAGAGAATGAAAAGACTTTAGAAGGAACTGGAAACCCAGTCCTAAACAGGAAACGGATATAGAATATTACAATATAACCAAATAAAAATAATGTTGAAGTGGTTCAGGCAGCAGCCATGAGAGACTGACTTCCACAATTTGTGATATGCATCATGTCAAAAAACTACTTCATTATTTCTGATTTTTGCCGTTTTTTTTCTCCCTTGTATTGTGCTGGGAAGTATTATCAGTGATATTTGTTCCCCCTGTTGTCATTGGGGGTTTGGGGCCTCTAAAAACATTAAACCCCTCTCCCAACTGACCCAACCAGGCATGATCACCTCCCAGCCAACTACCAGGCATCTATTGTGTAAATAAAAAAAAAAAATATGGATTCTTTTTGGGTTTCAACCAATGAAAATTAGTTTTATTTTTTCTGCAGTCTCCATTTGCCTATTTAATTTTGTAGATTTTTCCCCCATTAATTTTTTTGGTAAGTTTTTTGGTCTTTTGTGATTTTTCTTCTTCTTCTTGTTCTTAGGTGTTTGTTCATATCAAAGATAAGATGGTGTAAAGGTGGTAATAAAAAAATAATAATCAAAATACATATCAATTAGTACTGGAAAGTGCCAAGACTATACATGATACAAAAGCTTTCCTCCTGCATAAGGTGCAAATACTTGTGCCAGTCAGATACCAACCTGTAATTTATATCTTCACAGTATGATTTTTATATCATAGATTTTCCTTTACCTATTTTGACTGCCTTCAAAATAGTTAAGCAGTTTTACCTATCCTATATTTTTGGTAACAAGGCAGTAGAGTTTTCAAATTAGTTTTCCATCTTTTAGGGCTGCATTCCCAGGCTAAGGAGCTCTGTATATCCCATGACTACATCATTTATCAATTTACTTCTGTGAAATCAAGCAAGGTGCAGCTGTAGTTGTCATGTAGCAAGATTTATGAACAGAAGAATAATTTCAATGAGCAGTACTTATGAAAATTTAATTGTTTGCTGATTTGAAGTTTTTGCTGAATCTTAATTCTTAAGTTTATGATTAAATTAGCTCTTTATGAGTTCCATGACTATAAAACATCCATAGAAATTCTCCTATTGCCCCTTTTAAATATTTAAGTCTAACAAATTTATCAAAATATAACAATCATAATAAATATGAATGCAGGTCATTATTTAAAGAAGTATGGGGGTACAAATGAAAAGATTAAAAATTGACATGTTTTCTATTTCACTAAAGCAGATGTTAAACACAAGTTTTATCAACACTTCTTTCTCTTTCATTCATTCTTGTCTCGCTTTCATTTCTTCATTTTTCTTCTTTCCTTCCTTCTTTCTTCCTTACATTCCTTCTTCCCTTTCATTCTTCCATTCTTCTTCCCTTTCATTCTTTTTTTTTCCTTTTCATTCTTTCTTTCTTTTTTCCTTTTCATTCTTTGTTTCTTTTTCCTTTCTTCCCTTTCTTTTTTCTTTCTCTGTTTCTAACAATCTTTCTTTTTTCTTTCCTTAAAATTAAACAATACCTTTGATTTTGATATATCTTTTCTTCCATCTATCCTCACAATTAAACAGGAATGGACCATTGTTTATCTGAAACAATGGCTGGGCATGACATATGTGCCAATGAAGTAAGGATTGAAGGAAAAAAAAAAAAAAGAATCACAATATGATGTTTGCCATTGGAACTATTTCACATAGTCCCCCCCCACACACACACACCTGCTGGAATCATTCTATTAAAAGAAATATATAGTGTATTTTTATGAGCGTTTTAAAATCTACTGATTTTCTTTCTACACAGGTTGTTAGCATACTATTTCTCTTTCATGGTGTCTCAGTTGGTAAGGTCAGTTACTTAGTCATGCCCATCTACTCTCCAAGTATTATGTGACAAGTTATATTTGGTTACATGGTACCAGCTGTAAGGAATGTCCATTATCTCACAGTGGTCTCTTTTTTATCAGCTATCATAGTATTCCTCTCTTGAGACTTTTACTAAGATATCTATAGCGGGGAGAAATAAATTTATGCATTTCATTAGGGCTTTTTTTAACTTTGAAGGGACGGATAAAATATCTCATGAGAAATGTCTTTGTCCTTGATATTCATACTCACTTGCAATGAATTGGATAGTTATTCAAAACAATTTGTGGATGGAGATAAAGGCAGTGAAAGCAATAATTGTCCTGAAGATGTCCAGTAGTACATCACATAAAAATAACCTGGTTGTAAGTGGTTAAGCTTGTGGGAATAAGTTGTTAATTGCACAGCTTCTTTGATTCAAAACACTCCACTCTTTTGCTGAAATACCCCCAACTCGCAGTCTTTCTCTTTGTTTATTTTTCACTTCCTTTAGATATTTCTCAAGGCAGGTTTTGTTTAGCATTTCTTTTATTGTTTATGTATGTGTGAATATCAGTTTGTAAAAATCACATCATTTTACTGACTTTTTATCTCTGGTATTTGCAAGACAAACTGATGAGAAGCTAATATAAGATGGCCATTATTCACCTGCCGATCTCTACATGGTTTTCTCCCTTTTTTATTTTAATTTAATTTTTTTTTTTTTTTTACTTGAGATTAATTGTTTCAATGTTTTTATTCTTCATGTTTTTTTTTCATTCTTTTCTCCTTTGATTTATATTCTGTTTTCATTCTTTTATTTTCTTCCTTCTGTTATTCATTGTCATTTTTTTCCCTTGTTTTTCATTCTGTCATTTTTTTCCACTTGTTTTTCATTCTGTCATTTTTTTTGTCCCTTCTATTTCATTCTGCCGTTGTTTTTCCTTCATTTTTCATTGTCGTTGTTTTTCCACTTTTCATTCAGGTCGTTGTTTTTCCTTCATTTTTCATTCAGGTCATTGTTTTTCCTTCATTTTTCATTCAGGTCGTTGTTTTTCCTTCATTTTTCATTCTGCCGTTGTTTTTCCTTCATTTTTCATTCTGCCGTTGTTTTTCTTTCATTTTTCATTCAGGTCGTTGTTTTTCCTTCATTTTTCATTCAGGTCGTTGTTTTTCCTTCATTTTTCATTCAGGTCGTTGTTTTTCCTTCATTTTTCATTCAGGTCGTTGTTTTTCCTTCATTTTTCATTCAGGTCGTTGTTTTTCCTTCATTTTTCATTCTGCCGTTGTTTTTCCTTCATTTTTCATTCTGCCATTGTTCTTCATTTCATTGCCATTGTTTTATTCCTTTGTTTTTCATTCTGTCATTGTTTTTCCTGTTTTTCATTCTTTCTGATGCTAATTCCTATCTAATTCTTTCATATATTTTTTCCCTCTTTAATAAATTCTTTATATTCTGATCTTGATTTTCTTTTTTACTTTTTCTTTATTTTCAACTTTCCTTCTTTTTCATTTTTGGTATTCTTCCTTTCCCCCTCAGTTTATATCCTTTTCTTTCATTATGTTATTCTCGCCTCTTCTGTCCTTTTCTTACTTTTATTTTTATTTCTTTTCACTTTCTATTGCTTTATTCTTATCGTCTCATTTTCATTTTTTTTTCTATTTTTCTTCATTTTCTTTCCTTTTTTTTTTTTTCTCCTTATATTTCTTATTTTTCATTCTTTTATCATTACTTTTTTTTCCTTTCTATTTTTAGTTTTTCCTTCTTATTTTCATTATGTCTACTTTTACTTTGGTTGCCCAACTTTCCCTCTCTCTCACTTTATTTTTTTTTTCTTTCACTTAATTTTCTTCTGTCTCTTTGTCTTTCTTTTACACTATTTATTTTTCACCTATCTTTATCTCACTAACCTTTCCTTTATCCATTCTTTCTTTTCCTTATTTAATTTTCTCATTATTTTCTCCTTTCATTTCCTTTATCTCTTGTGCCTTTTTCTTTCTTTTCTATCCTCCCCAATTATTCTTTTTCTTTTATATTTCTGTTTTTATACATCTTAATCTTTCTTTTTATCTAATTTTCTTTCATTTCTTTCTTCCTATTTTTTTTCTCTTCTTGCCTTTCTTCTTCTTCTATTTCATCTCATCTTCTTCCTTCCTTCCTTTTCTTATTCAACTCCCCCTCTCTTTTCTGGTTTTTCTGCCTCCTACTATTTCTCTTCTGTTCTTTTCTCTCTTATAAAGTTTCACTTTCTTTTCAATTTTCTTTCTCCCTCTTCAGTTTTTTCTTTTTTTCTCCTCTCTCTTCAGTTTTTCTTTTTTTCTCCTCTCTCTTCAGTTTTTTCTTTTTTTCCCCTCTCTCTTCAGTTTTTTCTTTTTTTCCCCTCTCTCTTCAGTTTTTTCTTTTTTCCCCTCTTTCAGTTTTTTCTTTTTTTTTTCCCTCTCTCTTCAGTTTTTTCTTTTTTTCCCTCTCTCTTCAGTTTTTTTTTTTTTCCTCTCTCTTCAGTTTTTTTTTTTTCCCCTCTTTTTTTTTTTTTTTCCCTCTCTCTTCAGTTTTTCTTTTTTTTCTCCTCTCTCTTCAGTTTTTTCTTTTTTTTTCTCCTCTCTCTTCAGTTTTTCTTTTTTTCCCCCTCTCTTCAGTTTTTCTTTTTTCCCTCTCTCTTCAGTTTTTCTTTTTCCCCTCTCTCTTCAGTTTTTTTTTTTTCCTCTCTCTTCAGTTTTTTTTTTTTCCCTCTCTCTTCAGTTTTTTTTCCCTCTCTCTTTTTTTTTTTTCCCCTCTTTCAGTTTTTTTCTTTTTTTCCCTCTCTCTTCAGTTTTTTCTTTTTTTCCTCTCTCTTCAGTTTTTTTTTTTTTCTCCTCTCTCTTCAGTTTTTTTCTTTTTTCCCTCTCTCTTCAGTTTTTTCTTTTTTCCCTCTTTCTTCATTTTTTTCTTTTTTTCCCCTCTCTTCAGTTTTTTTTTTTCCCCTCTCTCTTCAGTTTTTTTTTTTTTTTCCTCTCTCTTCAGTTTTTTCTTTTTTCCCTCTCTCTTCAGTTTTTTTTTTTTCCCCTCTCTCTTCAGTTTTTTCTTTTTTCCCCCTCTCTCTTCAGTTTTTTCTTTTTCCCCCTCTCTTCATTTTTTTCTTTTTTTTTCTCTTCAGTTTTTTTTTTCCCCTCTCTCTTCAGTTTTTCTTTTTCCCCCTCTTTCTTCAGTTTTATTCTTTTCCCCTCTCTCTTCAGTTTTATTCTTTTCCCCCTCTCTCTTCAGTTTTATTCTTTTTTCCCCTCTCTCTTCAGTTTTATTCTTTTTTCTCCTCTCTCTTCAGTTTTATTCTTTTTTCCCCCCTCTCTTCAGTTTTATTCTTTTTTCCCCCCTCTCTTCAGTTTTTCTTTTTTCCCCCCTCTCTTCAGTTTTTCTTTTTCCCTCTCTCTTCATTTTTCTTTTTCCCCTCTCTCTTTTTTTTTTTTCCCCTCTCTCTTCAGTTTTTCTTTTCCCCCTCTCTTCAGTTTTTCTTTTTTCCCCTCTCTCTTCAGTTTTTCTTTTTTCCCCTCTCTCTTCAGTTTTTCTTTTTCCCCCTCTCTCTTCAGTTTTCTCTTTTTCCCCTCTCTCTTCAGTTTTCTCTTTTTCCCCTCTCTCTTCAGTTTTCTCTTTTTCCCCTCTCTCTTCAGTTTTCTCTTTTTCCCCTCTCTTCAGTTTTCTCTTTTTCCCCCTCTCTCTTCAGTTTTCTCTCTCTCTTCAGTTTTCTCTTTTTCTCTCTCTCTTCAGTTTTCTCTTTTTCTCTCTCTTCAGTTTTCTCTTTTTCTCTCTCTTCAGTTTTCTCTTTTTCTCTCTCTTCAGTTTTCTCTTTTTCTCTCTCTTCAGTTTTCTCTTTTTCTCTCTCTTCAGTTTTCTCTTTTTCTCTCTCTCTCTCCAGTTTTCTCTTTTTCTCTCTCTCTCTCTCTCCAGTTTTCTCTTTTTCTCTCTCTCTCTCTCTCCAGTTTTCTCTTTTTCTCTCTCTCTCCAGTTTTCTTTTTTCTCTCTCTCTCCAGTTTTCTTTTTCTCTCTCTCTTCAGTTTTCTTTTTTCCCCCTCTCTTCAGTTTCCACTTTTTCTCTCTCTCTCTCTTCAGTTTCCACTTTTTCTCTCTCTCTCTCTTCAGTTTCCACTTTTTCTCTCTCTCTCTCTTCAGTTTCCACTTTTTCTCTCTCTCTCTCTTCAGTTTCCACTTTTTCTCTCTCTCTCTCTTCAGTTTCCACTTTTTCTCTCTCTCTCTCTCTCTTCAGTTTTCTCTTTTTTTTTCTCTCTCTCCCCAGTTTTATTTTTTCTCTCTCTTCACACTCCTACTTTTAATGATTCTTTCTTTCCCCACTTTCTCTTGTGCCTTTTTAAAGTCCTGAATATTGATTGCTGTCTAGAGAACTATCTGAAAATAGTTGTTTATGCAAACATTATCTCAATATAACTGTACTTCATATTTCGATTGTACATTTGATGTTTATAGCTCTCGATTTAAAATTAGGATTGTACAGTATAGTACAGTTCACTTACTCTCAACTGAAGCCCAAGTTGTATACAAGGTTTTGACTTGGTTGTCCAGAACAGTAATCTTTTTCTCTTTCACATTCTCTTTCCCAGAATTCTGCCTGCCAGTTCTTTAGTCAGTTTTGTCTGTCAGTGTGTCTGTTTGTTTGTTTACATCTTTGGCTGATAGTAAGATTTTGATCAATCTCAGCCATTTATTTTTTTTTTTTACTGTACTCATATTTTTCATGTTTTTGCTTTTTTCGTAAATCACAATCCACTTCTGTCTGTCTCTTTCAACCGACCTACCAATCGGCCATTGGCTGGAACAAGAGGTCAGTTTGACGGCTGGCGGATTTTTCTTTTTATTCATTTACCTTTTATTTTTTTATTATTAGTTATTGTTTTTAAGACTAGCACAAATGGTGTCTGGTGCAGGATAATCCACTTTGGATGAGACTGCCACTCTCCAACCCATTTACCTTAGACCCATCTTCCGAGTTTTTCCAGACCGATCGGTTATCAGTTTCCTAAAACTTTAAAGGGGTGCTGTCAGGAAGGGAACTGAACTATGAAAATATATACTTTGTAAATTCCTTTTAGTAATTTATGCCAAATCAGGTTATTAGATTAGCATGCTTATTTAAGTAAAATGAGCACACACACACATATGGTGGATATATATATCCTCCAAAACTGTTCTTGATATTTTAAAAGTTATATATTGTTATCCCATATATATATATATATATATATATATAAAGTATTTATTCGAAAATTATAACATAAATATGGTATAAAATCACTACAAAAATAGCTATTTTGTTTTGACACTTCTAATGTCTTATCAAGTGAGGACCTACATTCAACACCATCACTTGATAAGACACCAGAAGTATTGAAACAAAATGGCTATTTTTGTAGTGATTTTATAACATATTTATGTTTTAATTTTCGAATAAATAATTATATTTGCTCTACTCTGTATTGAGCACACTTTATAAATTTGTATTTGTTGGTTATTGGAATTTATTCCATATACATCAATCCTCTACTTGTGTGTATATATATATATATATATATATATATATATATATATATATATATATATATAATTATAAATTATCACACATATAGTGTTAATAAAACAGTGCTTGAGGTAATACAACAGCTATTAAGTATATATTAATAAATATCTATATTAATCTTCACTGATAGCATGTCTCGGATTTTCATGCACAATATATATATATATATGCAATTTTTTATATATATTATTTATATATTATATATGCGTGGTACTTATTGGAAAGCGCTCAATATCAGAGATAGAGTTAACATATTTAGTTGGATTGATGAAACCCAGGGTCACAAACTCACCTCAATCCAATTAAATATATATATATATATATATATATATATATATATATATATAAGATGAGAATGAATAGAGTACAATTCCAACATTTGTAACATTTCATTTAAAAAGGGCTGAATACAAAGTAGAGCAGTATTCTTTATTTTAGGATATTGCATCAAAAATATGTCAAAAATGCGAAACAATTGTGTTTCAATGTGAATCAACTTGTTTAAGTTGATTCACATTGAAACACAATTGCAGTTGTACAGCATTTTTTTTGATATATTTTTGATGTAATATCCTAAAATAAAGTGTGTATATATATATATATATATATATATATATATATATATATATATATATATATATATATATATATATATATATATATATATGAGGAGCAATAATATTAGGTCTGTTTTTACATTGAGCTCTCTGGATTACATCCTCCTTGGGATTATCCATATGGATTACCAAACATTTGATTACCTAACTTGATATATATATATATATATAAAGAAATATAGGCTTAAGGTGTGCTATATTTATGGGATAAAGTGCTCAATATCAAAGATAGGCGTGTATAAATTTAAAAGTGAACATTGAAGTCAACACTTAGGTGACAGTCTGTTTCATGCTAGATGTAATTGTCAGGCCATGGTGCCTGACGATTGTGTCTAGCATGAAACAGACTGTCACCTCGAAGTGTTGACTTCAATGTTCACTTTTATTTATTTATATATATATATATATATATATATATATATATATATATATATTACACTGAAAACATATAAAAAATCACTACAGTCATGTGCCAGTGCATATCAATGCATCATATCATGCGATTGTAAAGTGTTCTCATCATACCTGGAGATATATATATATATATATATAAAGAAAGAGCAGTAAGATATATAATCCGGTGTTCTTATAGATATTTTTATTTTTACAAAATAGTGCTCAATGTAAATTTACAGAGCATTAATATTATAAATTAATTGATTTAAAATGTTTTTTTTTTTTTTTTTCGCTACACAGTTCTAACCATGTTTCAAAATGGAAGCTAAAAAAGCCCCTTAATTTAATTTTTTAATTAATTTAAAGACAGTTCCATTTCATCCTCAAGCGAATTTTTGAAACATGGTTAGAACTGTGTAGCGAAAAAAAAACATATTTTAAATCAATTAATTTATAATTATATATATATATATATAATTGTAGAAGTTTTTATTGAAAAGAACAGCCCTCATCAAATAAAATATCTTTCGCCACAGGAAATGCTATATAAAGTCTGTATAAAATATCTAATATGCTTATAAAATAATAAAAAAATAATAATAATATGTATAAATATTTGTCAGTCTTGCTCCATGTAAAAATTTTACATATGATGCCACTTTGGATTCTGATGTTCTAACAACATCTTCAGTTAATAGTTCAGAAAGAAATTAGTGAGCTGTGTTTATGTTCACTTTTGTACAAAGTATGACTATATCTCTTCTCCTCCATTCTATGGGTTAAATAGCAGAGTAGACTGAGCTCTCTAGCCTTTGTTGCAAGGACAGCTCATGGGAATCTGTTGTCTTAAGTCATGTGTGTTGTGTAACCTGATGTCAGTGGATATAAAGTCTTCTTTTTTCACCAAAATATTCTAGGTTGTAGCCAGCAAAATATTGTTTGCCATACTGATAACATTCAGTTCTTGATAATGACTGAAACAGTTGAATCTACTTGGACAAAAAAAAAATCAACTTTGTACTCTTTTTTTTCACAATTTTCATTCTGGTATATAATATTATTTGAAAATTGGAAAGTACAATAAAAAAATTATACAGACCGATGTTGTTTGTTGAATTTAATAAAATTTTATTGGAAATAATATATATAATGGCTGGTTATTTGTTTCTGAGCACATCCATCTGCTGTATCTGTTACCCAATCCCTGTTGCAGATGCCTTTTCAGGAATATTTTTGTTTCTTCAACATCCACAGAATACACCTGTGGCTTATACTGCAATGAGGCTGAGTGGACCTTAGTTACAATTTCTGGGAAAGAGTTCATAATCTAGCATGATCATCAGTTTGAACAATTTTAGGTCAAAATGATTTGTAAGTTTGTGTTAGAACAATCATTAACAGCTTCCAAGCAGTTCCATCGTCTCATGTGAAGGATTGGGTGAACTGCTTGTATGATTTTCAGTCAGTTTCCAAAAGTGCTACATGCTGTTATTGCCTTCCCATGCTAATATTATCAAAAACTCACCTTCCTTAGAAATCAACTATGGTGAAATTCAAATCTGGGTCACATGGTCAGAAAATGAATGTTCTAACCACTCGGGCCCACACGCCCATTATATCATCCTGTTGAGGATTTCAGTAAATGGAATAACAAACTAAGTTTGAATTTTACTTATGAATATTTGCTTTACGGTAAAATCCTTAAAAGATGTCATGAATCCAATTCTTTTGGCAGCCTGAGATATCTTAACAGAAAAATATTTTACCACGAGCATACTGCAATGATTAACAGAAAAGACAGGGAATAGACACTTGGGAAAACCACTGCTAAGCAGAAACAACTATGTTCATAAAATTATATTATACTAGTTGTCAACCATGCCAGATACCATCAGCATACCACTGTGTACACACACACACACACATACAGTTGTGTATGATTGTACATTGTATTATAGCATAAAAAAATAATGGAAGTTCTTTGACAAGGAATATGGTGAAACTTGTTAAAATTTGAAAATTATTACAAATAAATCTTAATTTCTAACAGGGTTAAAAAAGCAGATAATCACTTTCTTACAATATAAGTTCACAGAATGAGGAAAGAGGGCTTGAAAAATTTGATACTCACAGGACATATTGATAGCAAAAGAGACAGGAAAATAACACATAACCTACCAAGCAAGCTTGAGTAAATGGATAGGCAGAACAGGGTTTAGGAGAGATAAAAAAAAAAGCAAAATTTATTAAGAGCGACAGAGGATAGGACATTGTGGAGAGCTATGATTGCCCATATCCTGAAGGAACACGGCACATAGAAGAAGAATATATTTTAGTTAAAAGGAACTCATTTTCTCAGCAACATTATATCTTGACAGAAAAATGTTTTGTCATTGGCATGCCACAGTAGAGATGTGGAGGATATTTGAGCAAACCACTTTCCTGTACCATCTAAACAGTAATAACTATAAAATATTATACTAGTTGTCAACCATCCCAGGTATCATCAGCATACCACACACACACACACACACACACACACACACAGAATTGTCTATGCCTGTACATTATTATAATAGCAGAAAAAAACAATTGGTAAACAAAGTTCAAATTTTGAATGATATCATTTGTGTTTACTCTGTTTTAATGCTCTTCCCAAAAAGCATGAATCCACTTTTCCCTGCACACTATCCCATTATCAGATATCATGACCAAAAATGTCTTGTATATCTAAATTCATAATATATATTGATATAAATTATGATTATAATATTTATTTACAAGGAACTTAATTATAACCCGTTTTAAACTTTAATCACTTCTTTTAATTCTAAACTAATCAATAACTTTGGCAGTAGTTGGCATTTTATTTACGATTATGAAATTTGTTTAATTATAGTTAATTGTAAATTAATCGTAATGACTCTGGAATTCCCAGTACTTACTATCATTATTTTTTTTATACGATAGTCATTATAAGAAAATATATTTTTCTTTCTGGCCATTGTTCGGACTATTGATTGCATTTTTGTCTTAACCTCTGATTTTAACCTCCTCATTATGTATATACAGTTCAGTGTACATTGAAGTAGTAACAAGCACTACTGATTAATGGAACCACCATAGCTGCTTATTACATTCATATTTGTGACTGTGTATTAATCCCAAACAACTTATAGAAAAGTAACATTTTAGCTATTACTGATATGTACTAAAAAGTAACTTGAAGCAGTAATTTTTTTTTGTATATCAATTCATCCCAAGCAAGACAATAATGCCACAAAGATGCAAGAATCTACTGGGAATGAAAGAGAATGAGAAGATTTTAGAAGGAATCAGAAACCCAATCCTAAACAGGAATCAAGGGAAAAACCGCTACTCCTGTTAAAAAGACTGGGGAGGAGTATGAACTGGGTGATAGGCAAACCTATCTACTCTTATTTATCACTTTTATTGATCGATGGAACCACCATAGCCACTTATTTCATTCATCTTAGTGAATACACTTATTTAAAAATTCTCTGTGATGTAAAATAACCATCAGCAAATAGAACCACCATAGCCTTTTATGTAATTCATGATAGTGACTACATTAATTCCAATTCTGTTTTAGCCATTACTGATACTGATTAGCTATTACTAAAGTATACCCTGAAGGAGTTATCACTTTTATTGTTTGATGGAACCACCATAGCCTCTTATTTCATTCACATTAATGACTGCCTTTAATTCAAACTATCTTTGTAATAAGAAATAACATTTTATTCTCCTCACTTTGAATATGTGTGTACCTCGGCAGAACTCACCTCTACAGATAAATGGAACACACATTGAAAAAGGTTTTGAGCGAGTGAAGTCTGAGGATCTTGGCAAACATCATCCTTCTTTAGATAACTGTGGGCTGGGGTTACAGATTCACAAGTAAAGAACTGTTCCAAATAGTAGAAACTGCATCACTTGCGGACTACCAACAACAGCAACAACTAAAATGGATAGCATATGTAACTTGAAGTGAAAATATTGATATAATCTAGATGTTGACTTTCCACTACTTCAAATAAAAGTTAGGAAGGAAACTCCCATCAATGAACAGAGGTGGTAACAGCTCTTGGACTTGAAAATCTTTTTTTTCTGAAAAATTGTTTTAAGTGAAAGATTTTATAAATTTCTACTGAAAGCAGTACTGGCTGCTTGCTCATTGAATGTCGAACATTTTGTTATAGAGAAATGGCTAATATTACCATTATCATAACTGTTTACTTTTGTTCATTGCAATGATTTCTCTCTGTTCAGAACATTTTATAAAGGGAAATAACACTTTAATATTCTTACCTTGTATATGTGCTACCATAATGAGAGATGGAGCCACCATAACTTCTTATTTCATTTACTCTTCAGCATTTCTGCAGTCTTCAAGTCCATATTTTTTCTGCTTCTTTATGTGCTGTGTTCCATCATGATGTAGACGATCATGGCTCTCCACAATTTCCTGTCCCTTGCAGTTCTTAATAAATTTTGTTTTTGCTATTTCTTCTAAACCCTATTCCACTGAGCATTTACTCATGCTCACTAAGTATGTTATGCATTGTTTTCCTCTGTCTGTTTTGCCTTCAATCTGTACTGTGAGTATCAGATTTTCCAAGCCATCTTTCCTCATTATATGCCCTAGAAACTTCAACTTTTTCTTCCTAATGTTAAGTATAAGTTTCCATTTTGTTTACATTTTCTCTAAAACTTTGTCGTTGCTCACATGTTTGGTCCAAGGTATACTCAGCATCTTTCTGTAGAACCACATTTCTGTTGCTTTGAGTCTCTTCTACATCTTAAGGAGATTGCCTAGCACTGACTACCATTTATGTAATAATATTAAAAACAATAATACTTTTGGAATTTGAGAAAACATTTGGAAAACTATATTTTAATCTTTCTTTTTGCTTTCTTCTTAACAGGGACAAGTCAAAACACTCACTCCAAGCCTGCCAACAAAATCATCGCCCATCTCCACACCGTTAGGCATAACAGGTGCTGCTAAGCGAAAGTCTAAGGCTGTGACTGAAAGTTCTCAGTCATCAGTAATCCTGCAACAGCAACTGGCCCAAGTGCAGGCACAACAACAGCAACAGCAACAACAACAACAGCAGCAGCAGCAGCAACAACAGGTTGCAGCTGCCGCTGCTGCCGCCGCCGCCGCTGCCCAACAAGCCCCCCTCATCATGTTGGCTGCTCAGCAGGGTTTGAACCCTCAGCAGATGCAGCAGCTACTTCAGCAACAACTACTCAATCCCCAGCAGTTGCAGCAAGTGATGCAGCAGCAAACTTTCCTTCTTCAACAACAGGTGCGTCTGTTTCTGCTGAAACTTTCTTTCTAATGCTTACCACGCTCCATTGGTCTGTCTTATAATCAAGTTCAGTGCAGGCTCAACACAACAACAAAATCAGTTGAGGCAGTCGGGCTAAGTCAGATGTTAGAAACAGTGGGTGGCTAAGTCAGATGTTAGAACAAAACAGTAGGTGGCTAAGTCAGATGTTAGAACAAAACAGTAGGTGGCTAGATGTTAAAACAAAACAGAGGTGGCTAAGTCAGATGTTAGAAACAGTAGGTGGCTAAGTCAGATGTTAGAACAAAACAGTAGGTGGCTAAGTCAGATGTTAGAACAAAACAGTAGGTGGCTAAGTCAGATGTTAAAACAAAACAGTAGGTGGCTAAGTCAGATGTTAAAACAAAACAGTAGGTGGCTAAGTCAGATGTTAGAACAAAACAGTAGGTGGCTGTCAGATGTTAAAACAAAACAGTAGGTGGCTAAGTCAGATGTTAAAACAAAACAGTAGGTGGCTAAGTCAGATGTTAAACAAAACAGTAGGTGGGTGATGTTAAAACAAAAAGTAAGTCAGATGTTAAAACAGTAGTAGGTGGCTAAGTCAGATGTTAAAACAAAACAGTAGGTGGCTGTCCAGATGTTAAAACAAAACAGTAGGTGGCTAAGTCAGATGTTAAAACAAAACAGTAGGTGGCTAAGTCAGATGTTAAAACAAAACAGTAGGTGGCTAAGTCAGATGTTAAAACAAAACAGTAGGTGGCTAAGTCAGATGTTAAAACAAAACAGTAGGTGGCTAAGTCAGATGTTAAAACAAAAACAGTAGGTGGCTAAGTCAGATGTTAAAACAGTCAGATAAAACAAAAGTCAGATGTTAAAACAAAACAGTAGGTGGCTAAGTCAGATGTTAGAACAAAACAGTAGGTGGCTAAGTCAGATGTTAAAACAAAACAGTAGGTGGCTAAGTCAGATGTGGCTAAGTCAGATGTTAAAACAAAACAAAACAGTAGTTGGCTAAGTCAGATGTTAAAACAAAACAGTAGGTGGCTAAGTCAGATGTTAAAACAAAACAGTAGGTGGCTAAGTCAGATGTTAAAACAAAACAGTAGGTGGCTAAGTCAGATGTTAGAACAAAACAGTAGGTGGCTAAGTCAGATGTTAAAACAAAACAGTAGGTGGCTAAGTCAGATGTTAGAACAAAACAGTAGGTGGCTAAGTCAGATGTTAAAACAGTAGGTGGCTAAGTCAGATGTTAAAACAAAACAGTAGGTGGCTAAGCTGTTTAAAGCAGTGGGTGGCTTTCTGGTATGAAATATATAAACTTTTTCTGTATATATGAAATACAAAAGACTAACTTTGTCTTCTTCACATCAATGTATGACAATGCTATTTACCTGAGTAGTATCATTTGTCTAAAATAATTATTGCCATTACTTTTTAAAATAAGATGTGTAGATTTTTTCTACATCAGCTTGTAAAACTTCTGTATAAGTCATATGTTTATAAAAACATGGAAGATGAAGTTTTATTATTTATTTTGAAAATTAATAGCAGTAAGGTATTTAGATAAATGATACAGCCCAGTTCAGTTGAATTATCTTAGATTGAGGCCAAGAACATAAAAGTAGTCTTCTGTTTAGTTTTCAGTTCCAATATGAAGTGAGGTGGCAACTGAAGCCTTCCTACAGTCTCATGGATGCAGTAGTTCCCAAACTTTTCCAAAATATGACATCCTTCATTTATAAATAATTTGCTTTTTTCACAATGCCCTAAGTCAAAAAATAGTGAAAAATTGCATTTACGTTCATGTGGTCATTTTAGTTAGCTAACCCAGAACAAGGCCTACAATTTAAAAAAAAATTACTTAATCTAAATAAGGAGGTTATAAAGAAAATGGTAACTGAAAAATACTTCAAATCAGAAACAGATACAACTGCAAAATTCCTAGAGAAGGTAACAAAGGAAAGCAAGAAGAAAGGACTATTAACAGAGGCAGAGTGTATGTTCATTAGCGGGTCTAGCCTGAACAATTGCTATCATCAGACAAACTACATCATGGTGGGGTTATTGCAAAAAAGGTTGAGATTAGAAACTCATTAATTTTGTTTTTCTGTGCCAATAACACTGATGCCAAATTGCATCTCTTGTAAATTTTACCAATGCTAAAACCAACCAATGAACACTGAAATACCAAAGATTAGTTGCTAGCTAATTGATTTGGATGTGAATCAGGTCATCAAAAACACCTTATTCAGTAAATAGACACATAACTTATGCATTACATTATTAAAATGCCAGCAAATTTCTGTCTGAAATATGATATGGAAGCCGCTAATAAAGAAAGAATAAAGTCAAATGGCTACAATTCTTCAACAGCTGTTGTAACAAAAGGGAAAAGCTTCAGTGAGTACAGTCAATCATGACAAGCAGCACCAGCACTCATCAACAGGCAGGTTAGGTTTAAGGCTCCACAGAGAATTGTCCCATGTTGCAAAAGCATAGTGAATTGAAGCAATGGTTTGTGAATTTGGTGATATAGTAGCTTCAAGTTATGAGTTCAATCCTTGGGCCGGGCAGTGAGTACTTGGAATCAGGTCAAGCAATGACAAGGCAGATATCCCTAGACATGGGCAATAGAATGAGAACAGTCTACCCCTGTAGATTAAATAAGGGTTCAGTTTAGAATTCCCTGTATGTTACCTGGATGGACATACACCTGACAAAGTTTGGAGGGTGCAACAAAAACTGTGGGCAATAGCATGCTTGTAAATGTGTTAAAAACACTAGCAAATTGTATTTAGATAATACTAGCTTAAAAGCCACCCTATTAGGTGGTATTTAAGCTAGCTTCTGTGGAGGGTTCTTGATTGGGCCTTCATCACAATAATCAGGAAGGAGTAGATGCAATACGCATCAATAAACTACAGAACTCAAAATTGATTGCTGCATTTAAGTATTGCATTAATGTTTAAGCTTAGTTTTTAGAAGTTCAGTGACAATTCTTCTGTTGCTGATCAATTTAAAGACAATTTGATGTACATAGGTCCTTACTTTCCATACAAACAATTTTTATTTCATGGGTGACTTTTGCTGGATTTTGCAATTAATTTTGATTATTCCCAAAGTTATCATACAAAAGAATTTGTTGCAAAAAAATCACATAAAAAATTGCTGAAAGTAATCACAATAATGAAAACTTGGGAATATAAAATTTCAGAATTGTAGGTTCAGATCTGGCCTGGGATGTTCATAATTTTCTCACAGAGACAGACTGATTCCAAAATGGTGTGATACGTTGGGCTACAGCCTCTTGGAGTAAAGTTGAAAAAGTGTGACACACTGATATTTGCATTTATTATATAATAGATGGAGCTTGTCTGGAAGATGGCCAGGTAACTTCATCTGTTGCAGTGCATACTCTTTCTTTATAATCCCTTAAACAGGACTTTTATCAATTTATGAAATTGGTAGTCATTATGCAGTATTGTATGTCAATGTGGATACTCTATTTAAGAAAAAAGCATTTGATGCAAATTTATTTCTTAGCTCTTCCTGAATTTGGTCTTGTGCTTCAATAAAATTGGTTGAGACATTTCAAAAAGTAGACATAACTACATTCACATATATTTTTTTCTTTTTTAATCCCTTCATCCCAAGGAAGCCAGTAAAGTGACTAAGATGCAAGTGGTTACTGAGTATTAGAAAATATGAGAAAAATATACTATTAAAGAGAAAAGATAATAAAAGAACAAGAATTAAGAAGATAGAAGATAATGATTGATATTACATTTAAATTTTTGAAGATCAAATTTGACAGGGAAGCAAGAAGCCAAAAGAGATCTCCACAAGCAATAGAAGAAACTGTGAGCATAGAACTTATGGTTATATCTAGCTATTTCAACTGTAAAATGATGAGACCTTGCTGCCAATCTAGTACTGCATTTAAATTCATAAAGTCTAGGTACCATAAAGGAAAGTTTATGTCACTTGTTTTATGACTGACACTGTTGTGTATTTCTCATTGATGTCAAAAGTTTAGTGTTTGTGTTGAAGTCAAAACCAGTATTTTATAGGGTCATGTTTGAGTCAGGCAGGTAGATGAGTAGAGTACAGTCTTCCTGCCTCAGATCAGTGATGTGCTGGTCAAAGTTAGGTTCCGTAAACATCTTATACAAATACTCTCATTTTTATTGATTGATTGATTGATAAAACATTTTTGGGTGTAATTTTTCATGTGGCTTGGTTTTAAGTTAAGATCAATTTAATTGATCAGAGAAATTAACAAAAGACTTGTTTATCATGCGAACAGAGACTGCATGGTTTTCTGTTGAGTCTTTATTGAAGCAACTGGACAATAATATTCTGGCTGAGATGATATTTGCTAAGCCATTTGACATCAAATATGAGTGGGGGGGGGACCAAAAATAACAGGAATCGTTTTCTGTGTGACAAGCCTGTAGTAGTTCAGGGTTTCACTGCTAGATGTCACTTGAGGCAACCCTCAGGCATCAGTGTGCTAACTGGTGTCATCGTAGGAAGACGTATAGCTCTGTGGTTCACATTTGTTTTGAAGTGCTTCACACCTTTTCGTCTATTTTTACCATGGCTGAAAGGATGCCTGTCATAAACTGAAAGAACAGTTGGAACTTGATCCAGACTTTTTTTTTGAAGGTCATCACTGGTGACGAAAGCTGGTGCTATGGCTATGACTATGACCTGGAAACTAAGCAGTAATCAAGTCAGTGGAAGCATCCAACATCACCATGACCCAAAAAATCATGCCAAGCGAAGGCTTTTTTACTTGGAAGTCCTGAAGCATTTGCAAGACAAGGTGAGATGGAAACAACCTGACCTGTGGCAAAGTGGAGGGTGGTGGTTGCATCACAACAATGCGGCAGCACAAACCAATTTGAGTGTGAGACAGTTTCTGACCAAGAATGGCATGACCCCCCCCAAACTCCCTATTCACCCAATCTTGCCCCCTGCTACTTTTTTGTTCCCTCGAATGAAGAAAGTCCTCA